CAGAAATCGTGATAACGATTAAAATACCATTTTTGTTGTATTTCCTAATTCCTGCAAAATTTTAATAACCATATTTTTTACGCATCCATTTTTAATGATCATACATTTAATTTAGCATTGCTATTTTTTACCATAATCTTACATTCATCAGATACTTTTATTTTACATTGCATTCAAAATGTATACAAGTTTTTCTGAAAGTAAGCTCCTTGTTTTTTAGAAACAACAAGTCCTGCATGTCATTTCCCTCTTACTTCACTGCAGTTATTTGTAAATACCAAGCTAATTAGAGCTTAAATTAAAGGAAGAAAGCCATGCCAGTCACGGCAGCGTTGCTTTTTTCTCCTGTCGCTTCATGCAAGAGGGGGTCTGTCAAATTATCGCTAACGCTGATGTCTAATTACATAGATGCAACCTCATAAAAAGATTTTACTCTGAAATCAATCTAACTAAAGGGGCTGTTTCGAAGAGTACACGCTATTGCAGGCTCCAGTAACCACTTTCCTTATTCATTCAATTTGATGCTGCAAAATAAGGTACACTCCAGCTCAGATATTGAGGAGGGAGGGAACTATATCCTCGACTCGGAGAGACAAACACTCCTGAGCATGCACACATGCACGTACCCCCACTTAACACACATGCACACATGCACACACAGACTTTATATTGGCGGCCTATTAGTGAGGCTCAAATGGAAACCGTACGGGGCCGTGACAGGGATGAAACTCTATGCTGCTAGCTGAACCTGGCTCTCCGCTGGGACCATGGGAGCCCAAATCACCATTACTGCTGAGAGAGATGTGCATTCATGACATCTGTTTTAATAGAGTCTCTCTAGACACAACACTGTCTTTGAGTCTCTTTATTCAGCATTGATTTCTTATCGCAGTCTTGGCCGATTCTGTCTTTATTGAGTTTTCCGCGTCACTATGTTATTATTTCTACTCCATTAACATGTCTTGCTCATCGCCATTGCAGTCCGTCTCTGTCTCGCTTCCCACGGTGAGCAGTATTGATCAGTATCAACACGCTGAGGCAGTAAAAATCATTCTCCATCCCGCTGACACTGAATGCGATACTCACCGGACTCATGACACACATTTCAACTTCAAGGGTTGAAAGAGTCTGCAGCTTGACAAAATACATGTAGTCGTTACGCATTCAAACCCGCTCACACCATTTTGACATGGAAATTAGAAAGTATACCAGGGGAACGTGACATGGGGTAAAGGATTTCAGGAATAGCAACTCTCTAAAGACTCTTATAACTAGAATCAGACTGTTGTGAATCAGCCAAGTTCCACCACAAATTCAGTTATTTTTAACGTGCCTCTGTACCTTTTAAAGCAATAGTTCATCCAAAAAATGAAATGTAGTATTTATTTACTCATTCTCATGTTGTTCCAAAAATGCTGTATTTTTTAAATACTGTTAACGTGGGTCTTTCTTCCTAATCAGCTTCGGTACTTACTAGGCATCATCAGAAACCTCAAATGCTATAGGTTCTTGAGTGTTTTGTAACATGATGCCAAACCTGCACCATAGGTCACATTTAATTTGAATTATGGGAGAATTTCCATTTAATGAAGCATTTTTGTTCTGTGAATCTTGACAGCCTACAAGCATGAGGGTCAGTAAATAACAGAATTTTAATGTTTGAGTGGTTTATTACTTCAAATGCATGCATGCATTAGAACAGATTCATTATATGCAGGGACACCTACTCAGAGTATAATCTGAAAGTAGTGCATGAGGAATGAAACTTGCAGTAGAGCAAAATCAGTCTGTACAGATCTCTACATTGCAGTGAAAATGAAAACTGTCCAAGTGAGAGCTCATTTTCAGTCTATTTTCAGCAAACTGAGAAATATCGTCCCATGTTGTTGGTGTACATATCTTATTTAAAATTTTTTGATTGACTTAGATTATTTTAATACAATTTTAAAATGATTTTAAGTCATCTTGCGACCATCTTGCAAGATTGCTGAGGTGTTCTAGTTGAAAACCACTAACCTAGAGCTATAAATCACATAACATCATCCTGGCAACCACAGAAACCCCTCGCATTGTGGTGGTGAGTTTTGCATGGCTCGTGCTAGATGTAGGGATTTTATTGAATCAGCATGCTGTGGTGGCACAGAATGTCTGAGTGTCGGATACAGTGCAGGACAGCAGATCTGTGTTCTTAATCACAGGGGCTGTTGGGAAGAGGTTGAGGTGGTAGACCACAGCAGATGGACCAAACACATCAAAGAACATTCAGTTTATTTTAAACTCACACACATAAATTTGCATTTCTGAGGAGAAAAACATTCCACCCGAAAAGACCTCTAGATCTAATTAATAAAGCTGCCATTTTCTGATATGTGACTAAAATCTCACAATACTGATTTTTTTTCTTCAGAATTCTGAGTTTACATCTCGCAATTCTGACTTTCTTACTCAGAATTCTTTGTTTACATATCACAATTTTGAATTTTTCTCTGAATTCTCAGTTTACAATTCCAACTTTTTCGTTGAATTCTGTTTAGATCCTGCAATTCTGACTTTTTTCACAGAATTCTGAGATTGCATCTCACAATTCTGACTTTTTCCGTCAGTTTACATCCTGCAATTCTGATTTTTTTTTTTTCCACAGAATTCTGAGATTACATCTCACAATTCCGACTTTTTTTCTCTGCATGTGCATGCAGTCTGGTCAGGTGTCTAAAAATTTGAGAAAAATAGTCTTATTAATTGTGAGATGTAAACTCACAATTTTGAGATGTAAACTCGCAATTCTGAGAAACAAACTGAAATAAAAATTGTGAGATAAAAAGCACAGTTACCTTTTTTCATATTTTTATTTCGTGGTGGAAATAAGCTTTTATAATCTAATGCTCTAAAACAAGTTAAAAAAAAGTTAGAACACTACCATAAATGTTTTAAGCCATTTGATAGTTGTTGTTTTTTTTTTTGTTTGTTTGTTTTTTGTACTGTGGAAAAGCTATGAGAAACTGGCCATGGCTTGTTAAATCACAGCCTATTGAATGTCTCTGCATGTGTTAGCAGAACTCAGGTGTTCTAGGCTCGGTGCCAGGAATCAGAAAACTGCAGTCAGGTTGTGGGCATTAATGCTGAGTGCTGGGAAAGAGTCAAATTGCTGGCAAGAAGCGTAGTGTGCTTGCTCAGTGCTTACTGCATCAATGATGGGAAAATCTACTGGATAAATGAGGTGTGATTATCTTTTAGCCTCGTTTCCCCTGTGTGGTTTGGCCAAGACTTTTTTTCCTAGAGGTGCTGTGCATCTGCTGCTGACTGTGTTAGCCTTGTGTTCATCCATCAATGATATTTAAACTGCTACATGGTGAATGATTAATGATGTGCCAGTGCAAATTAGACCAAATGCTCAATACAACACTTGTCAAAATGTGGTGTGCTTAATTGCATTGATTGTACGCTTTAAATTATATTAAAAAAATACATGCAATACAAAAAACAATAATATAATATTAATTAAATAAAAGGCCACTTAAGTGTATGTGGAGTACTCTTTCATGACTATGGGCCAGATTTACTAACAGCTTGTGCCAGCGCTAACCGTCTTTTTGGTTAAGATAGGATTTACTAAAGACACGCAGTGAAGAATTAGTGCTGAAAAGGCGTGGAGACAGTTATTTTTGCGCCTGACCTTATTGAATATTAATTTCTAGGAGTTTCCCTTTCAGACGCAAAATCTATGGGAGGAGAGAATTAAAATGAATCACGCAACACAATTTACTAACGTTTGCGCTCGTCAAATTACTAGTATTTGCGCCATTATTTCATGCCCCAAAAAAGTATGTCTTAAACTAATTTGCGTCTGTTTGATTAACATCGGCTCTGCTTATTTGCGACTATGCTAATTTGCACTGCATTTAGTATATTGGGTTGGTCGATATGCAAATTAGATGGTGCGTCTGTGTTCTTTAATTTGCGCATTGTCAGTTAATCACACGCAGAAATTTCTACGCCCATCAGCGCTGTTTTGGAATTTTGCCCTGTTTGGTAAATCTGGCCCTATGTTTCTTAACACACTTAAAAGGTGTACTTTGTAAACATTATATTTTAATAATCTTTTGTCGTGCTTTAAAGAAGTACACTTATTTCGATGTGTTGACTAACATACTAAAGCACATGTAAAATATTTGATTTTAATTGTAATGTGTTATTTGATATTTCATTTAAGGTTAATATATTTCAAAGGTACTAATTTGCAATTTCATTATTACAAATGTGTAATTACAAATTTATTTAAATACATGACATGGAAGTTTCAATTGAAGTGACTTTACAGTATATTTTAGTTTACCATAAATGCTTGTCAGTACATTCAGAAGGATATTTTAACCATATTTTAAAGACCAAAGAAGTAATTATGAAATGTAATATATAGATGTACTTAAAGGGATAGTTCACCCCAAAATGTGTGGGGGAAGTCGTGGCCTAATGGTTAGAGAGTCGGACTCGTTCACGGTGTGTGTGTGTGTTCACTGCTGTGTGTGTGCACTTTGGATGGGTTAAATGCAGGTCACCATACTTGGCCACATGTCACTTCACTCACTTCACTCACTCAAAATTAAAATTCTGTCATTAATTACTCACCCTCACATTCCAAAACCGTAAGACGGTTACATCTTCGGTTGATGAAATCTGAGAGCTATCTGACCCCCCCAGAAACGTAGCAAGACATCAGTGGCTCAACTTCAATTTTGCGAAGCTACGAGAATAGTTTTTGTGTGCAAAGTAAACTAAAATAACATCATTTATTCCACAGTTCTTCTCCCTGAGTTCTGCCATTTTAGTGAGTAGCATATGTGCGAGCTTTCCCCACAATGTAATCAACATAATCAGCATTGTTTACATTCAGCATGTAAACAATGCGTTTTCTCCTGAACGGCTCAAAATGCATTGCACAGCCTGACACACCAGCTTTTATATGAACCTCTGATCTAATGTTTGTTTTCTAATCTTGAAAGGGGTTACCGGACTCGTTCAGCTGGATGAGAATGGCGATCGGGAGATTGACTTTGCTCTATGGGACATGACCGACACAGATACTGGAGTTTATCAGGTAAAGAGGCCTTCATCTGATCATATACCTCTTCACATTTAAAATACATTACTGGCTAAACCCATCTCACCGCTGCTGAAATGATGGCTGTATGTCCTAGATTGTGTCCGTGTATAATGGCAGTCAGAAGCGGATGATTCCGGAGCCAGGGATGAAGGTGTACTGGCTGAAGGGAAGTCCGCCTCCAGATATCCCACTGTGTGGCTTCAAAAACGACAACCCTGCCTGCCTGGCAAGTGAGTGCAGCCCTATATAACTCATGTAATAATAGACCTGTATGAAAAGACACCATTATACTCAGCCAAAATCATGTTCCCAAACGTCATGTTCCCAATAAATTAGACTCAAATCAATATTTCATGTCCTTGCATTTATAAGTAGCCATGCAATAAGCAAGGCATTATATAGTCAGCCATTTTATTCGTTTATTTTAATACTGTTGAGATATATTTTGTGACAATGACTGGCTGACTGTACATTATTCTTCACTTATGAGTATTTTTCAGAATACATTAAGTATACATTTGCATGCGTCATATATAGAAGTATAAAGTGTTGAATGATGTTTCTCATTATAAGTGAGTGTACTGTAATATTTCAAAGTAGAATCAGTACCTTCTGAAATGAAGATTGTAGTGATGAGTTAATAGATGCAAAAATGTGTATGTGTAAGCAGGATAAAACACTTGGAGTTAATGATTAACGTGATAATTAAATCGAGGCATGTTTCATGTTGTTTTAATGTAGTTCTGTAACGTTACTTAATTAAATTTAGGTTAATAACAGATCCAAAAAATAGCACACAGCAGTTGATCAGTATTGTGAGAGCGTGTGAAACACTGGTCACCTGAAAATGATCCTCAAAGAGCCCACTGAGGAGCAAGAGTAAGAAAAGACATATCTAAAATGGGTTATTCCTGTTGTGCAGCACCATTTTTAACTGCAGCTTAATTTTAACAGCATTTTTAATGAACATGCTTGTGTTTACAGGTCTTTCTGTACAGCAGGCAGACTGAAATATGCTCTGTTAAAGCTCAGGCACATCAGCTTAGCTGATTAGAGCTTGATTATTTATACAGTGTTAAGAAAATTAACAGGAGAGAAATTAAGAGCCAAAGTAAACCATTGCTTGAAGTAAATTTCATAGAAAATTATCCAGCTATACCAAATTATGTAATTTTATTAAAGATGGAAGAAGGAAACCAACTAACAGCACAAAACATCACAGAATTCATCAAATCTAATACTATATACTATTACAATACTTACAATATTTCTTAATACTCAGATAAAAAATGATTCAAATCAAAATATACACTGTTGTTCAAACATTTGAGGTTGGTAATTTTTTTTTATGTTTTTAAAACAAGTATTGTATGCTCACCAAGGCTGCCTTTATTGATCAAAAATACAACAACAAACAGTAATATTGTGAAATATTATTACGATTTTAAACAGCTGTTTTCTATTTAAATATATTTTAAAATGTAATTTATTCCTGTGATGTAAAGCTGAATTTTCAGCATCATTACTCCAGTCTTCAGTGTCACATGATCCTTCAGAAATCATTCTAATATACTGATTTGCTGCTCAAGAAACATTTTCATATGAATGTTGAAAATAGCTGTGCTGCTTCATATTATTGTGATATTTTTTTGGTGAATAGAAAATTCAAAAATCAGTATAACAACAATATAGACCTATATAAATTGTTACATTATAACTGGCTTTACTGTCACTTGATCAGTTTCATTTGCTCTTGCTGAATTAAAGTATTAATCTTTAAAAAAAAAAAAAGCGTACTGACCCCAACCTATTGAACGGTATCTTGCATTAGGGATATTGTGTTAAAAAAACTAATATCATCTTCTTTATAAATGTAAGACCATGCATGATGAAAACATGGAAACGTACATAGTAGTAATGGCCCATCTGAATAAATGTAGTCTTTTGTCATGACAAATTGGCTTACATTGCTCTCATCGTGCATTTGGGTTTTTGTCAGTTTCATAAAGCTCTCTTTAAAGCAGATTTCAAATACTGACATCTGTGGCAGAGAAAGAAAGAGAAAAGGTCAGAATAAAATAATATGTATGAAATGATTTCAGCAGGTCTTACTGCTGTCTGTGTGAACTCTAATGAAATTCAGATGTGTGGAGATTGTGTTCTTGGTTTTGTTCCTCAGAGACGGTCACCATGCACCAGATGATCTCCATAGTGGTGTGCTTCATTTTTATCATCATTGTAACGGTCACAGTCTTCATATACAGGTCAGTTGAAACCCGTGCAGACAAACACAATGTCTATACTGAGAGCGGGCGACGAGACGTGACAAAAACTAGAGCACTTTAATCAAGCTTTATTGATTATAACATGAGCGTTCTCGTTGGGTCATGTCACTGGCCTGCAGTGTAGACATGATGTAACACTACATGTCAGGTGTGCAAATATTGAGCTTTGGGCGATCTGGGTCTGATTTTATATCTCTCTGTCTGTCTTTCTTTCTGTCTTTCTCCTCCTCTATCTGTTCCTGATGTTTAATTAGGGAACTTACTGCCAGACCACGACAGAGAAAGATATAGCAACTCAGTCTACGTCTCCGTGACTTCATCACTTTATACCATATGTGACCATGTATCCAGTGACAATGAAATGCATATGATTTCTATTAAGTTCATGCCAAGATTTGCAGCCAAAGATGGTTGTGCTTTATTAAAAAATCACATTTTCAGCTGTTCTCCAAATATGATGTAGATCCTATAACATTCATGTTATTTTTATTTATACTACGGGGCCGTTGAATGCTTGAATCTGATTGGCTGACGAACGTTCTAAGGTGTGCAATTATTTTCAGGGAAATAATGAAAATAATTAATTAATCGAGGTGTAACTCTGCTTCGCGTCATGGCCGCATCACCACCTCGGGTGTGCATTATTTTTCTAATAATCCAACGGCCCGGAGTCAATTATTCCGCTTATACTATGGTTAATTATTCCTTACGTAATTGCACTTATTTTTCATAATACTTGAATGGGATTATAAGAGCTATTTTAACATTTCATTTAACATTTTAAAATATTCAATGTTTTTATAGTGTTACACAGATTTCTACATTTAGTAGGATACTTTCAGAGTTTTCATTTGCATATGTTGCAGTCATATAAATTGCTCAGTTATAAAAATTACTCACACATTATGATGTATTATTATGACAGGCGGAGAGCCCCATTCAGCTTTCACCTGAAATAGTTGATATTAAAAGTCATTTAAAAAAAAATTCTCGTTTTACCCAATTTTATCTGATGGGCTAACAGAAAATTATGAAGAGGTCAGCAATGCCAGTAAACGAACAAGGGTTACCATACGTAACCAAGACGTTCCCTTTCAGTCTGTCACGTCGACGTTGTGTCAAATTTCCAACACTAGGGGTCCCTATACAAAGTGCCACAAATTACTGAAGTTATGAGTGTGTTATGAACGATTTATACCCGAATATCCGGGCCGTGGCCAGCTATGCAAATTTTGCTTGTCGAAGTGACCAACAGAAAGTGAATGATATTCATTGACGCAGGATATCAAGAGATTTAATTAAGATTCCTAGGACATATGGTAGTGACTGACGGTGAAAACAGCAACAGTGTGTTATTGTCATCCTGAAGCATAATCCAAAGACACAGATGGTATATCAATCAAGTAGATTATTTCATCCTTTCAAATAGCTCTCACTCACATTAAGGTTGAACAATGGCGAATACACAAATCTCAATTGTATGTCATGGCTGGTCTTCATGCGTGATCATATGTAATCGTATTGTGTCATAATGGTAATCATGCGTAATCGTCATCTTGTAAAATAGTTATTTTTTCCTGTGAGATCAGGCTGGACTGGAGAGCGCTGCTTTAGACTGTCATATGTTGTGCATTGATGATCTTCTGTTCTGGCTTTTTTTTTATAAATACCAGATTCTCCAGTGGGTCATTCTACAATTGCTTTGGCAGATGCTGTTGCTCACTTTCAAATGGCAAAACATCCAACTGCAATGTACACATTTCCTATATAGAAAATTATATATGTTTTAATAAAAAGTGTCTTATAATTAAAGAGTCTATGAAATAGAAGAAGTTTCTTTCCTGTGCATAAGGATTTGGTTTATACCACAACATTTTACATGTAAAATTATTTGCTTAAAAAAAAGATTTATTGTAACATTCTGACAAATTGAAATGGTTTAAACACAAATACTATTATTTTAAGACAAATCAATTATTTTAAGACAACACCATTGACAAAGAGGAGAGAGTCTGTGAATGGAAAAGTTTGTTTATTTCATGCAAATTCTAATAATAAAACTGAATTTTTAAGTTTTTTCCTCTGAAGGACATTTTATCTGTACATGTGCCACTTGGAAGCTGTTTTACCGGTATTGATTATTGAGCATCATATTGTTACCTAAATTCAATACACTCTATGCCGGTGCTGACAGTGATGCACATATTGATTTGTATTATTTAACATCTATGCCAAATAAATGTTGTTCTCCTTCTCATTTATTACAATTTTTCATCTGATGATTTTCCCAGTTGCATCCCATCTCTCATTGTCCCTTTCCTCTGCTTATTTTTACTCTTCTTTCTTTCTCTTTCTCTCTCTGTCTCTTTCTCTGTCCGTCACTCGGCGGCTTCAGGAAGCTGAAGCTGGAGAATGAGCTGACCGCTCAGCTGTGGCGTGTGCACTGGGAGGACATCCAGATGAGTAACATGGAGAAGGTGCTGCGCAGAGCCTGCAGCAAACTCACCATGTCATTGGTGAGGGGAAACACACACATATACACACCAATAGTTTCCTATAGTTTGAGTAAAGCTGCTCATGTCTTATTCATCTCTCCACACACAGAGAGGCTCTAACTACGGCTCACTGCTGACTATGGAGGGAAACTTCCAGATCTATGCCAAGACCGGCTATTACAAGGTATTAAAGGTTTGGTGGTGAGGTGTGGATGGGCCACTGGCTTGCAAATCTTGTTGGCTAATAACTGTTTCTTATATTTCCTACCTTAAGGGGGCATATGACAGCCCCTCCACTGGATCACATTCAAATTTCAAGATGTTTTGTCTTTTGTTGGAGACATTTTTAAGTAAAATTGTAGTTGCCACTTTATTAGCCTTGTTAAAAGGAAGCATGTTATTTTTTTTACTTCGTCTGAATGTTATGAAAATTGCAATGTGAACACACACACACACACACACACACAAAATATATAGTTTAATCAAATGGAAACATCTGGTACTGCGCTCAATCAAAAGCTTACTGAGAGCTCATTTTTAAGATATCAACCTCAAATTTGGAACACAACTTGCTTTGATTTTCACGCAGGTTTAGAGTAAAACATGGTTTGGAAAATATCTATTTCATTTAAGATTTAAAAGTAGTGTTTTTTTGCATTTTTTTATAATAATAAACTTAAACTTATATAACTTTATTTTAGTTTCTTTTTTTTTTGCATTAATCACTTGGACAGTAATAATCTGCCAGGTGTTTTTTTTTTTTTAAAGAAACCAGTCTGCTCCAGAGCATTCAAGATTTATGACAGTTTAAGTAATTTCATTTTTAGCTCAAAAAGTAGTATAACGTATAAGTGGTATAACATATTTTAAGGGCCAGATTTACTAAACAGGGCAAATTAACTCTCAATTAATCCCCATAATTTGAATTTAAGTTATAGGGCCATATTTACTAAACAGGGCAAATTAGCGTTAGAGAGCAATTCCATAAAAGAGCAGATGGGAAGAGAAAATTCTGTGTGTGATTTACTGACAATGCGCACATTAAAGAACACAGATGCAGCCAGATCATTTCCATAATGACCAGCGCAGTCTACCAAGAGCAGCGCAAATTACCGCCTGCTTTAAGACTGCCTGCTTTTTTGGGCGTTAAATAATAGTGCAAATACCAGTCATTTGACGAGCACAAACGTTAGTAAAACGCATTGCGTGATTCATTTTAATACTCTCCTCCCATAAATTTTGCGTCTGAAAGGGAAACTCCTACAAATGCATATTCAATAAGGTCAGACGCAAAAATAACTGTCTCCACGCCTTTTCAGCGCTAATTCTTCACTGCGTGTCTTTAGTAAATCCTATCTTAACCAAAAAGACGGTTTGCGCTGGCATACACTTTAACCATATTTCAAAGACAATAGAAGTAATTATGAAATTACATATAAAGATGTACTTAAGTTCTGCTTAACTGGGTCAAAAATCACTCTAAAGTTTAACTAATTCCTTTTGATATAAATAGAAACTATAATTGTACTTCTTTTTCACAAGGGTTGAACTAAAAATAGTCAAAATAGTAAGTTTTTTATTTAGACACATTCATTGTGACCAATTAGAGATAGGGTGACCATACAGGCCATTTTACGGGACACGTCTTTGCCAGGATTTCTATATTGCCTAAAATATCCAGTTTTGGCAGTTTGCACCATGCAGACCGATCGTTGTATGACATTCGTGAGAGCTATAGAGAGCAGAGCAAGTGGTTCCTTATGCTTTCGAATCGCTCTCACGGTACTTTGGTGTCATACAATGATCGATCTGCGCAGCGCCGCTTCAAGTCGAACGAACGAACAAACACACCTAACTTGCGCGTATTTGCATCGCTTTGATCGTTCTCTGTAGATCCTACCTTCTCACGTGCCACAATTGGTCGGTTATGTACAATTCCTGCATGTTATTGGCCAAACTACTTTGGATGTTTTTGGCAATATAAAAATCCTTGCCAGGACGTGTCCCGTACAAATGGCACATATGACCACCCTAATTAGAGACTAGCGGTGCATTCCAAACGGAATATATCGCCCTCCGGAGGGCACTACGGAGTGAAAACAATCATGGCCACCATATTGAAGGGTCGTTCCAAACCGAAGTGCTCAAAACTGGCCACTTCAAAGTGCCCTTCGGAATGAAGGATTTCGAAGGGTACAACTGATGGACACTTCGGGCTCCCATGATCCTTTGCGCAGATTCTTTGCATGATGACGGCACCTCCGTGTGGGCATGTGATGATGACGCAGAAGGGCACTTCAAGAAACAGTTGTTTGGTCCCCTACACCCTTCAACCCTTCGAAGCTCTCACTCCGGAGGGTAAACCCTTTGAAGGGATTAGGGCATAGGGATGAGCCCTTCCGTATGGAACACAGGGAAAATCTGGTCTACTAAGCCCCACCCACTTCCAGTTCTGTTTTGTTTTACCTTTTCATTCTATTGCTGTGAGTTGTGTGATTCTGTTCCAGGCGGTGTGCTGTTTTGAACATAAATAAATAACAGATTCTGCCTAGCAACAGAAGTGTCAAATGATGGAAGGGTTCATCCTTGGATCTCCTATAATGCCGTCGGCGTGCCCTGGCTAATGGGCCCATTCTTCAATGGATGAGCTATAGTTCCTCTCCAATTAAGCAGAACCCCTGAGGATGAGCGCTATTCATGTCCACATGTCATCATTTCCCCCATTAATTAGGATGGTGCTTAATTAACGCATTATGTTGCTCTTTTTCTTCTCTTAAATGATGGTCCCCCATCCCCAAAGCTCTTTGCCAAGTCCACAATAGCAATCAGGGTGAAACTAATGTGCGTTGGTGCCTCTTTTCCAGGGAAACATAACAGCCATTAAGTATGTCAACAAGAAACGCATCGAGCTCACCAGGAAAGTGCTGTTTGAACTCAAACATGTAAGTGTGCATCCATGCCGTTTTGTGCTTTTTGCCAGGTGCCTTAATTAAGTTTATATGATGTCCTGGGAGATATTAATAGCCGGGGACTGATGGAAAAGAGGGACTAAACAACTCTCTCTCTCTCTTTGTCCTCTCCTCGTCATGCTGTTCTCCCTCCTCTTTTCCCTTCTGTTCCTTTCTCCTCCTATAATAGATGCGTGATGTACAGAATGAACACTTGACGCGCTTTATCGGCTCTTGTATCGACCCACCCAACATCTGCATCCTTACTGAGTACTGCCCTCGAGGAAGCTTACAGGTGAACACTCACGCACCCCACTGCTCACAGTTACTGCACCTACAGTTGATGTATTAATAGATGACTTGTGTTTATGCAACACTTTTTGTTTCACCAAGCAGGGCTCAGTAATAAGGATTCAAATTTTGACTTGCCTTGCCAACCTTTTTTACTGCATGCATAAATAAACAAACAAATAAATACATACAGTACATAAATAAATACATAATACATTTAAGTGTTAAATAATTCATTAAAAAATTTGTTTTGTCTTTTTTAAATGTATAGACACATAAATGTTAACAAACACAAAAATAATCATCACTACTTGCAGCTTCTACCATCTAATTAGACAACATTTTTAGACATATTTCTGACATGAATAACTATGTTGCCTTCTAAGATATCTTCTTCTAAGGCTACACTGCATGTATGTTTGACAGATAGGACCAACACAATATTTTCGATTAGCTAATAATTTTATATTTTCAGTTTTTCAGTTCATATTTATCAGTTAATTTTTTTCAATTTATTTTAATTTTATACATTTTAATCTATTTTTTGTTTTTGTCATTTTTTTTTTCTTTTTTAAATTTCTATGTTTTCTTTTTTTTTTATTTCAATTTTAGTTTTAGTAACTGTAGTACTTTAACTTGTTCAACTTCAGATTATTTATATGAGTTAGTTGCCAAGGCAATATTTTTCATTTTCTATTTTTTCACCTAATGTTTATTTTTCTATTTCAGCTTCATTTCAATTACCGAAAACAAATTTGAATAGATTTAGTTAAGCAAAAACCTCACTGGCTTAGTGAAAAAAAAATCAACATTTATTTAAATCTTTTTTTTTTTAAAGTAGATTAAAAACGGTTTAATATAATTTAAATCTTCTGTTTTAGCTAATATTTGTCTGTGCTATGTATTTTGTGCTTTATTAGAATATATATTGTTAGCTTAGCAACATGCTAATGTCAAACTCTACTGGAATCAGCTGTGAGTTGAATCAAAGTCCCTTTCAAGGAAAGCTGACGGACATATTTGCAACGTCTCCGGGCAGCTATTCCGGGCATCCAAGCCCAAGCCCTATATCTAAATGAATGGGGGAATCCTGAAATCTAAAAAACTGCCTGCTGAGCTCACAATTAAATGACATATTTCAAATCAGCAACAAAATCTGAAATTAACTGCCCCAAAATTGTTGTTCCTTCTTGTTGCTTCTAACGGCACCTGCAGTGACGCAATGACTTTACCAATAAACAATTGACTCTTTCATTCAGAAGGCATGTCTACTCGGCCATATTGCGCATTGCAGTTTCTCCGATTCGTAAGTAACAGGAAGGAACTCTCTTTGTATATCTATAGTCTTTGGTTGAATCTCTTGTGCGCTTCATGTGAGTGGCACATGATGATGCTGCCTATGTGGAACGTAACAGAATCAGTCACTTTAAGAGACTGCCTTACGGTGCATTCAAATCATGTCGAAAAGATCTAGTAACATAAACATTAGTAATTATGAGAGTTGGGGGTGTCGCAGTGCAATGGATGCAGCCTTTCTATTAATAGTAAATTTGTTAAAATTAATGATTTTTTTTTGTTTGTTTTCAATAAAAATATTTAAGGTGCATGTTGAAAATACCATGGTATCATACAATTCCAAATCAATTTACAGCACCCTCATAAATCTAATAAAAACTAGGGTTAGGGCTAGGGTTTATTCATCATTCTATAGATGTAAAGTTAAAAAAAAATGATGTTGGATTTTATGTAGAAAAGGAACATCGCCACCTTGCTCCAACCAAAGTGATTTGAATGCACCTGATGTCGTAATTTCAACTTCCCAACTCATAAATACGAACTTCCTAGGAGGACTTTAATGTGCCACTAGAAGACTTTGCACCAAAAATGGGTAGCCCCGCCCCCAAAGTAATGCTGTTGGTTGAGCCAGTGTTGCTATGTCAGATTGCTCCAGCAAACAGCAATGTTTTGAAAGCACCACAGTGTTTACACTCTTCAAAGTCAGTCTACAAATGGCTTGCATAGAGTTGTCTCTGCACATTCAAACTGGGATAAAGTATTTTAACAAGAAAATTACACACTTTAGATATAAAATGTGAAAATATAATAACACATAACTGACAGGATGATGTGAGGGAATATAATTAATATCCATCAAGTCTTGTTTCCACACAAACTCTCCTTATGAGCCACATGGTGTGTGTGTGTGTGTGTGTGTGTGTGCGTGGGTGTGTGTGTGTGCGCGTGGGTGTGTGTGTGTGTGTGTGTGGGTGGGTGTGTGTGTGTGACCTGTAGGACCTCATGGAGAGTGAAGGAATCACGCTGGACTGGATGTTTCGCTATTCTCTGATCAATGACATTGTTAAGGTGAGCATTTCCCATCAGAGACTCTTCTGCTCTTAATCTCAGGAGGAAAAGGAAAGGGAAAGATGTCTTGCTGTTTTAATGATGCTTGTCAAAGAACACTAAAACATAAATCTTTCACATCAAACTGCTTTGCATTTTTTAAAATATAGTTCTCGGTTAAATCGAGGCTCGCTCCTGTGAGAGATTTCATAGGGGTGGTTTTGAGACGTCTGTAATTTGAAATGGTTCATGAGGATGTCGGTTCCCTGACGAGCAAATTATGACTCCAGAAAGCATATTGCAGTTGCAAAAGAGTCTGTAATTAATATTTTCATGGTGTGGTGTTGGTAAATACGATGGATGCTGTCAGATGTCTTTGTAAGACTGTCATCTTTTCACCACTCAGGGAATGGCGTTCCTCCACAACAGCGTCATTGTCTCCCACGGCAACCTGAAGTCTTCCAACTGCGTGGTGGACAGTCGCTTCGTGCTGAAGATCACCGATTACGGCCTGGAAAGTTTCCGCAAGGAGAACAACCTGGAGGATGTGCACACTCTCTATGCACGTGAGTACCGTGGCAACACGTAGATACAGATTGCGTGCGTGTGAAGATGTAATATCCATGTTTGCGTTCGCAGGCAAGCTGTGGACGGCCCCAGAGCTTCTGCGTGCCGACAACCCACCTGCATGTGGGACACAGAAGGGTGACGTCTACAGCTTTGGCATCATCCTGCAGGAACTTGCCCTGCTGAAGGGCGTCTTCTACCTGGAAGGCCCTTGTCTCAGCCCTAAAGGTCAGAGGTCAAACACAATGCTCTGAAGGTGTAATCAAGGTTATTTTTTGACTAGTTCTATTCTTTTTTTTTTTTTTTTAATCCATTAAAAATTTTATTCATACATACAATGACATTAATACACCTCTTTAGTGATGAACCTGTTTTTAATTTCTGAATTAAAATTTATTTTGATTTTTTTTGGAAGATAAATTTTTTTTTTTTTTTTTTTTTTTTAATCCATTAAACATTTTATTCATACATACAATGACATTAATACACCTCTTTAGTGATGAACCTGTTTTTAATTTCTGAATTAAAATTTATTTTGATTTTTTTTGGAAGCCATTATGTCATAAAAATATCAACAATATGTCCTGATATTATGTTGCAGAAAAGCCTCATGTCATGTGCTGCAACTGCCCAAAAGTTTAATAATATTAATGAATTAATATATAAATAAAAATAATAAAAATAAATAAATAAATACAGAGAAAAATCAATTGGATCTTATATGAAACCATATGAAACCAACCAGTGTTGTTTTAATAATATTTATATATTATTATATTATTTATTCATATTTTTAATTAGCTTTTAGTATTATAATTTTATTTTTATTAATTTTGTTATATTTAATTTTTTTATTTTTATATTTCTATATAACTTTATTTTATTTTTATTTCAGTTTTAGTTTGTCATTTTAATACTTCAACCTAAACATATTTATTTCACTTGGCTGCCAATGCAACATTTCTCATTTTTGTTCAAGTTTAAATGTTTTATCTGATAATTATATTTGATTTCAGCTTTATTTCAATTATCAATACAATTAAATTACCAATATCAATTAAACTAATTTTCATTTTGTTTTAAAAATATTTTTTTATTTTTAATTAATATTTTCAGTTTTTATTTTAGTTAACAATAACAACACTGAAATCAGCATGAAGATTACAGTTCTATATTTTAAAAGTTTTTTTTTTCAACACTCTCGGGGGAAAAAACAGGTACAAAACAGGTACCTTTTTTTAAGAAGTACTAATATGTACCTTTTAGGTACTAATGTGTACCTTTAAGGAATTAATATGTATCATTTGGGGTAAATAAGGTACAAAAATATAAGTTTTAGCTTTTGTGTCTTTTTTTTTTGTTTTAGTTTTTTTTTTCTGAGTGTATTGTGGACAGTCCTATATATCACTTAGTGCACGTGACTGATTTCATTGTTTTTCGCTTGTTTAATAGCAAATTGCAATAGAAGCACACAAGAGAAATTGTCATATTTGGGTGAACATTACCTTTTAGCAACAGTCTCTGAAAAGCGTCGCTTGCTGCTTAATCCTTAGAGAACCGTAAAATAGACAGTAATTTTATTACACGCTTTCAAGAGAAGTTTTTTGGTGAATATGAATAACCATGAGAATGGTTAACTCATTATGCAGGTGAGAGTGTTTTCTCGTTTAGTGCTTTGATGTGAATCAAAACAACATTAAATAAAATGTGTTAAGATTTATGCAGTGAATTACACTGATAGCACGGGTTGCTTTTCCATGTCATTTTTCCTTTCCGTGTCACCTGTGATTACATTCACCTCACCTCTCTCTTGCTTACTCACTTTGTGAGCACAATCAAAACAGTTTCATTTGTCAAAGCATTAGTAACAGTGGCCTAAATCATCTTTGCACACTTAAGATGCCATTGCGTTAGATAACAAAATATTAAACCAAGTGACATTTATTTTAAAGATATCATACTTCAAAAGCTAAAGATTTCACATAAAAAAAGATGTCTTAGGTTTTAAATAAAACACCAGCCTATTAAAGGAATAGTTCACCCAAAACTGAAAATGTACTCACCCTCAGGTCCATCCAAGATGTAGATGAATTTGTTTCTTCATGGGAACAGATTTGGAGAAATTTAGAATTTCATCATTTGCTCAACAATGGATCCTCTGCAGTGAATGGGTGCCGTCAGAATGAGAGTCCAAACAGCTGATCAAACAAGTAATCCACACCACTCCAGTCCATCAATTAACGTCTTGTGAAGTGAAACATCATCAATACATTTTTTCTTCAAACCACTGACTGGAGTCGTGTGGATTATTGTGATGTTTTTATCAGCTGTTAAACCCTAACGACACCCATTCACTGCAGAGGAACCATTGGTCAGCAAGTGATGAAATGCTGAATTTCTCCAAATCTGTTCTGATGAAGAAACAAACTCATCTAGATCTTGGATGGCCTGAGGGTGAGTACATATTTTAGATGAACTATTCCTTAAAAAGTCAAAGTAAAAATCTCTCAGACAAGTGAAGTTAGTTCTAAGAAAAGTTCAAGTAGCATTTGTACAAATGACAATTGGTTTAATGATATGTACTGCAATGACATTGAGGCATTTTTAAGTGGCCAATATATACACAAATACTTGCAATAAAGATACCGGTTATAAGCTATGCTGCATATAAACCTTTAGAAGTATTCTTTGTTTGTGCAAAGTGTCCTGGTCACTTTCAGCAGTGACACAGTAACTGTCTCTGTTGCTTTCTTTATTTTGTGTGCTTTGGGTGGGGAAGTCTTTGTTTTGTTACGGTATGTTCTGAGTCTTATTTACATTCTATTGGTGTCAGTATTGCTTATGTACAGAGTCATGGATACAAACACACACTCAGTGAATGTCACCCGTCCTCATAAACGGATCACCACACACATACCAGCGGCTGCATTAAAGAGAGACAACAAAACATGAGTGACGTGTCTGGAGCAGAGCCAGCTCACCACCAGAACAAAGGGAGTCAAAGACAGCAATGAGAGAATGCCATTAACTGTCAGAGCAACGGAAGTATGCTTAAGTAAAAAAAGAGTACACTTAAGCATACCTTTAAAAAGTAGTACGTACTACAAAAATACTTAGAATATATTTAAAGGTAGGGTAGGCGATTTCAGAGACAGCTTTGAAAGCATAAGATCCCACCCTACATGCAAATCACTCTCCAAAGCCACGCCTCCTCCAAAACACATGAGCGTGCACAAGCAGACCAGAGGCTAACCAGCGACAAGATGAGAGATGGCGTCAATGCTGTCAGATTACCTCATGTCTCATTCACCGGTGAGAAAACATTACAGTACAAAGCGCTTAATAATACAATAATAATTCCATTCTCGCCCGGTCTGCAGTATAGCGTAATGGACTGTGTTGAGGACGTATCATGTCTGTGCAAAAAGGGTGCACAGAGGTATGTGAATACATACGCTGACTGGACAAACATTTTACAGTCCTACACCTTCTACAGATTATATGAATACATATAAATATATTTAGACCACTTAACTTAGTGATTGCTATCGGGATGTGAAAACTTTCAACCAGCATAACAAAAAATGTTTTTGAATCAAATCACCTACCCTGCCTTTAAGTGTTAACTGAATGAAATGTTTTTAAACACTTAACTCCATGTTAAATGGAATTAAATGAAAATGTACATTTTAATATTAAAAAACATAGGTGAACTTTACAGTTGGCTCACTTAAGTAAGACTTAAATACATCTTTTTTTGTGTAGTTTCATAATGACTTATATATTGTCTTTGAAATATGATCACATAATATGATACAATATTTACATATATTAGTAATTACACATTTGTAATGATAAAGTAGCAATTTAGTACATTTAAAATATATAAACTTTAAAGGGGTAGTTCACCCAAAAATGAAAATTCTGTCATTAATTACTCTCGTGTCGTTCCAAGCCTGTAAGACCTTCGTTCATCTTCAGAACACAAATTAAGATATTTCTGATTAAATCTAAGAGCTTTCTGACCCTGCATAGACAGCAATGCAATCGACACGTTCAAGGCCCAGAAAGGTGGTAAGGATATCGTTATAATAGTCCATGTGACATCAGGGGTTCAACCGTAATGTTATGAAGCTACGCGAATATTTTGGTGTACTTTTTGTTCATCAAAAATATCTTAATTTGTCTTCTGAAGATGAACGAAGGTCTTACAGGTTTGGAACGACATGAGGGTGAGTAATTAATGACAGACATTTCTTTTTTTTTTTGTGAAATATCTCTTTAAATGTAATATCAAATAACAAAATACAGTTACAATTACAATCAAGTACTTTATGTACTTTAGTATGTCAACACATCAAAATATGTGGCCTTACAGTTACACAGTTACACATCAAAATGTGTGGCCTTCTTTAAAGTGTATATATCAGCTACTTTAAAACAGCTTTGTATGTAGCTCATCCAGTCGTATTTTAGAGCCAGCTAAAAGACTGAGGGATGAAGATATTGGGAATGTATATATTTTTTTTTTTCCTGAGTGCAGTGAGGTGTGGAGTGGGACAGAAAGGTCATGACAGCTTTGTATCATCATCACTCCTGTTGATTGCTGTGAAGACATTTGTTAAGTCCAAGGTCTTCTCAAAACCTGCGAATGACACTTTCATCTCTTTTTTTTTCCTCACACATTTGCTCTCCTTCTATCCCTCGCACCAGTGGGGAGTCCGATCGCAATCACTGTTTTTCTGTCAAATTTGCTATGCTAATTTTATGTGCTAATTTGTGTATGTTATTTCCTGTGTGATAGAGAGTTGTGTAACTCGCTGTCTGGAGAATGTTTAATTGCATGTTTGTTCATTTTTCTTATCATTACTGTCTCTTGTTTTGTGGTTCAGAGATCATAGAGCGTGTGGCGGAGGGCTGCTGGCCGTACCTGCGGCCGCTGCTGTGTCCTCAGAGCCACAGCGATGAGTTGGGACAGCTGATGCAGCGCTGCTGGTCAGAAGACGTCAACGAGAGGCCCGACTTCAACCAGATTAAAGTACTGCTTCGCAAGAATAACCGGTACCTGATTCACAAATCAGCTCACACACAAGAGCTCAAATGACAAATTTGACATTTTTTTATTTAAAGAGCGCATTAGTAATATGCGCCTATAGGTGGGCATACACTCTGCTTATTACACACACAGGGACGCGCAGCATTACGCAAACATGCCAAATATTAATAAAAAAATGAAAGGATTACAATGCAGCTCCGTTTCCTCTCTGTTCAGTCTTTGCTCTTGCAAATTCCACCATATAAATAGCTAATCCGCCATGGCGTGAGAGCAACTCTTAAAGGGAATGGGAGATGAGACTCTGATTGGTTTATTGCATGTTATGCCCAAAGCACACCCATTACTCATTAAGAGAATAGGCACAACCCTTTTAGACCATGCGCTGGGCGCGCCGACCGTTTTTCCCATCATTAAACTAGCAAAAGTGGATTCGGACATGCCCTAAGTGCACCTGCGCCTTGCGCTTTAGACTATGCGCTTAAATCGTTAAAATAGGGCCCAAAGTGTTACCTGAAATTTATATGCATATGTAATATATGTTAATAACAGACACACATACAAAGGTTCACTAGTTTTTTTAAGTAAATTTTTAAAGATATTTTAAAACGTTTGCTGCATGGTTAAAAATACCTTTTATAAAATTGCGTTTTGAAAAAAAAAACGGTAGTCTAAGCCGCGTAAAGGCCGAGTCGCATTTTATTATTACATTCATGAATAGCCTAATGTAAAATGCCGGTAAATAAATGTAAATATTTACTTACATTATAAATACAGATAACCATTAGGCCTACTAAAAGCTATTTTAGGCTAGTTCTTCTCTCTCCATAACAAATCCTTTAAATTTAACGGTATTCAGAAAACGAATGAAAAATAGTACAAGTAGCCTAGTTGAACATCAACTCAAAACGAATTCACTGCTGCTGAAACTGAAACGGTCGTTGGGCTCACATAGCCTACCTCTCATACTCGGTACGAATCCACTCAAAAATGTTTCCATATTCATGATGTATTTGAATGCTAAACTATTATTTATTATGATTTGAACTTCACTGCCTGTAAATCATCCTTCACATGTGCAATGTTTGGTGGGTGAACGCAATGGATTGTACTTTGGTCTATTTAAATTGAGTAGTGTAGCCTAAGTTTGGCTGGCTTATTTTATTTTGTTAATGAACCATAGACTGTATAAAAACATGGACGTAGTATCAGTGATGTCACCTGTAGGTTTATGGACAGTGTTTTTGAAGCCTAAAGTAGGCGGAGCCGGCCGTTGCCATCTTGGCAGTGCGTCACCGCGCGTCACTCCCGGATAATCGAAAATGGGCAAAGAGGCAGGAGCTGGTTGCTGAAACCACGCCCACCTAGCTCGACGGTGGTGACAGCAGCAGCAATCCACCTGTCACTCAAGTGGCCACGCCCTTAATTATGCAGAACTTTAAGGCTTAATATAATTTAAACGGATGAGTTATACAAAAAATTCACCACCCTCACAGTTGTCATGAAGGGCAAAATTAGCTATATAGACCAAAACCACTTTTTGTACTAGGTTATAAACATATTTTTTTCTGCTGTAAAGTTGGGCATTTTAACATGGAGAGTCTATGGGACTGACTCCCTTTTGGAGCCAGCCTCTAGCGGCCAGTCGATGAATTGCAGTTTTAGTCACTTCCGTATTGGTTTCACGAGAGAGACCGGAAGGTTGCCGCTTGTAATGAACAGGCTGCGATAGGCTAATAACTAGCCTAATATGTTGTGTGTGTGCGGGTGAGCGAGGTATGCGCCTGCGAGATCACTTGAATTTGTCCCTTATCACAGCAGAAACAAAGATAAGAGTGAGACATCATATGAAACTATAAAGGGTCTACTTTTATTTGTGTACAGTCACAATAACAACAAAACACTGTGCTTTACAAAGTAAAGAAAACAAACAGATGTCGTTTTCTGCCATATAGGCTATTGATTTCCTTTCCGTGAAATTGTGAACTTTCCGTGAACAGAAACTCGGCATATAGAACTTGTCGTAGTTTTTCTTTCGTTTCTGTGAATTATTTAAGTCAAATATATTTCGTGAATAGGACTATTTATTTATTTTATATATGTGATCTTATTCCGTTTTTCTCAGTTCATATAATTGCTTATATGTATGTTATTTTAATTCCGCTTTATAAGAGAAATGTTTTTAATAGTTTTAATACATTTTAATAATCCTACCCGAATGGCAAAACATCCATAGAGCTGCAGTACACTTTCAATTTTTCAGCTGTTTCAAGCCACAAATATTTACAAATATTAATTTAATGCCAGACTGGGACAAAATTTCAGCCTGGCCGGGAGTCTCATCCAGGAATAATGAAAGAAATGTTGGCCAAATTAAAACAATGTGCCTGTCTTTTGTGTGTAAATTCACTTTATGAACATGACACAATACGCTTTAGCATTAAAGCGAGCATTAAAACGAGCATAGCAAAAGAGTTTGTAACCCTTTTAAAGCATGACATGAAATACAGTGAGTCTTTTTCAAATTTTATGCACTGATTTGTTCTCAAAATTGCAATTCTGTGGGATAGTATGTAAGCATGGTATAAAGTCTTAGATGGAGCTAGGAGTACTATGCTCTTATCTGTAGTAAATCCAGTCAACTAAAATTTGAATAATAATTTTCTTAGTTAATATTTTATTAATCAATGTTTACATAATAAACCTTGTGTATTATGGGTGTTCAGTTGATGTTTTTGTGCCTCCACTGCCTGTGTTGCAGTGATCAGACACACATTCACAACTCTTGTCTCTGCCTCATCTCCTCAGGGGATATGGTTCCAACATCCTGGATAACCTCCTGTCCCGTATGGAGCAGTATGCCAATAACCTGGAGGAACTGGTGGAGGAGAGGACGCAGGCGTACCATGAGGAGAAGCGTAAAGCTGAAGCTCTGCTCTATCAGATCCTCCCACAGTGAGTCCTAGTTTGTTCAAACCAATTTCCAAAGCATTTGTAAACCATATGACTATGTGCTACCATTCAAAAGTCTGGGGTCAATAAGATTTTTAAGGCAGTTAATACTTTTATTCATCATTTAATTCAAAAGTGACAGTAAAGTATGGAAGGCCCGTTTTCAAATCAATTTACATCTCGCAATTCTGACTTTTTTTTTTTTTGAGGCAGTATCTGATTGTGTGTGTGTGTGTTTTTGTTTTAGCTCAGTGGCTGAGCAGCTGAAGCGAGGTGAGATGGTGCAGGCAGAAGCCTTTGACTCGGTCACCATCTACTTCAGTGACATTGTGGGCTTCACCGCATTATCAGCCGAAAGCACACCAATGCAGGTCAGAATCCCTCTGTAAAGGGGTAATTCAGTAAACGCTCGCACACAAATAATTATAGGCTAATTTTGTTTTTTTACTGTGACAATCATGAGTGCAGTATTGAATTATAGCTGATCTATTTGTCTATTTGCACCCGCCACAGGTGGTGACGCTGCTGAATGATCTCTACACTTGCTTTGATGCAATCATCGACAATTTTGACGTGTACAAGGTAATTCCAGATAGTCATTACGTTCACTGCCTGTTCAACGACACGTGCTCGATTAGCTTAAAGGGATAGTTCACCCAAAATGAAAATTTGTCATCAGTTGCTCACCCTCATGTTTTTCCCAACTTGTATGAATTTCTCTCTTCTGTTGAACACAAAAGAAGATATTTTGAAGAAAAAAACAGGTTCCGGCAGCCATTGACTTCCATTGTATTTTTTTTCTGTATTATGGAAGTCAATGGCTACCGTCAACTGTTCAGTTACACACATTCTTCAAAATATCTTCTTTTGTGTTCAACAGAAGAAAGAAACTAAGAACTATCCCTTTAAGTGGCTGAGATGTTTCTCACAGTCTCTGCCCACCACTGAGCCGAACGATGTGTTTTTGTGTGGCGCCCCCAGGTGGAGACCATCGGTGACGCCTACATGGTGGTGTCGGGCCTTCCTGTGAGGAACGGGAAACTGCACGCACGCGAGATCGCCCGCATGTCTCTGGCTCTGCTGGAGGCTGTTCACTCCTTTCGAATCCGCCACCGACCCGACCAGCAGCTCCGCCTACGCATCGGCATCCACAGCGGTGAGGATCAGGGGTCAGGAAAGTGTCTAATAGAGTACAAGTACAGCACAAAGCAGTCTGGCCTCTCTGAGGACATATCTGTGTGTTGATGGCTGACTAATGGGGAGCTTTGACTGATGGTTATGTGTGTGTGGGTGGGTGTTTTCATGTGTCCAGGCCCCGTGTGTGCAGGGGTGGTTGGTTTGAAAATGCCTCGGTATTGTTTGTTTGGCGATACCGTCAACACAGCTTCACGCATGGAATCCAATGGAGAAGGTGAGGTGCCTCCAGACTTTTGAAACGATTGTGTCCCACACTTCTGTGGCATTTACCAAATGGTAGTTTTGAACAGTGGTGTAGCTAAAAATTATAATTTTGCACCCTCTTTCTGACACATGGAATTGATCCATTTACTACATCTTTAAGCCTTGTATATGTAAATGATCTCTGGTATGATTGGCTGACCTCTTTGTGTGTAAAAGCTGCAACTTTTTGATGATTCATTTAAACTAGTCTGGCGTCTGTAAATCACTTGAGTGAACTTTGAGTAAAACTGAGTATGAGTATGAACCTTAGTCACGGTATTTAAGGTTGATTATATGTTATTTAAACTAAAATGACAGTGAGGAAAAGAAATGAATGAAGAAAAGATGTGTGTGTGTGTGTGTGTGTTCCTGAAAAGCCTTTATTGTATTGAATATGCACTTCTAGTGTACTTCAAATCTTAAAAGTATATTTAAAGAAAAAAACTGTACATACAGATAATGTAATATTAATGAAATAAAAAGCAACTCAAGTGAACTTAAAGAGAGTTTACTTTTATGGCTATATTTCTTCACACACAGACAGAGAGAGAGAAAAGAGCGTGTCTGATTATTTCATAATCTACTGTGCGCTGATTTCTCCTCCATCAGCCCTGAAGATCCATGTTTCAGAGGCCACACGGGCCGTCCTGCAGGAATTCAACTGCTTCCAGCTGGAGCTCAGGGGAGATGTGGAGATGAAGGGAAAGGGACGGATGAGAACGTACTGGCTGCTGGGAGAGATCAGCTCCAATAATGCCTAAAAACTGACAGAGAGGAGAGGAGAGAACAAAACAAAACGCATCTAAACAAGTACTGGGACAGTGTGGGACACCGGGATGAAAGAAGGTTTCTTCAGAAAAAGACCTGACTTAGAAAGCAATGTTTCAAAACTGGGTCTTGTTCATCTTTCATTTCCCAAAAGCTTCATGTTATTGCTTCATGGGAATCTAGCTGTGACTTTTTTTGCCAAGTAAACTTGAGCAGAATCTTTTAGACACATGAAAGATGACATAACACACCATCAGATCGGTGTGACCGGATCGAGTGTTTACGGGTCTCGTAGGAGTTTTGAATTTTGTTTTGTCGTGATAGGTCTTCGTCCAGATTTTTTTAAGCCTCTGGGTCTGTTTGTTGTCGTTCATGTTATTGGTCACACAGAGACACAGTGCTGTAGTCACTCTAGTTTTTGAACCATGCGAAATGTTCTCGATTCCTCCTCTATCTGCCAGAACTGCTCCAGTCAGCAGAGGGTTTTGAACCACAGATAAAGGTTACGCACAGAAGAGAAATAATAATAAATGGCAAGTATGGTTAAGAAAGCAGAGAAATGTGCAATGATGGATTTTGTTCTCAGATCTCAAGAGCATTTCCCTACAGATGTTGCAATAGTGCTTCAGAGAAACCAGCACAGGGATGTTCTTGTCTTCATTTAATAGCAGGATTTACTTTCCCCTTAATGTCATCAAGAAAAACACAAACACTTTTAACTTCCAGAATGTGTGATATTTCCAAATGGAACTTGATTTTATCCATTGGGATTTAATTTAGGAATTCTGAGATTCCACTCGGATCCATTCATGTGCTTGGATTTCTAAAAAATTTGGGGTCAGTAAGATTTTTTTACTGTTATTCGGCAAGGATGCATTAAGTTGATCAAAAGTGACAGTAAACACATTTTTTATGTTACAGAAGATTTCTATTTCAAATAAATGCTGTTCTTCTTAACTTTCTATTCATCAAAGAACCTTGTGTCACAGTTTCCATAAAAATATTAAGCAGCATAATGGTTTTCAACATTGATAATGATAAGAAATGTTTCTTGAAATCAGCAAATCAGCATATTATTCTGAAGGATCATGTGATACTGAAGACTGGAGTAATGATGCAGAAAATTCAGCTTTGCATCACAGGAATAAATTACATTTTAAAACATATTCAAATATAAAATAGTTATTTTAAATTGTAATAATATTTCACAATATTACAGTATACTGTAATATTGTGAAATATTATTACAATTCAAATATAAAATAGTTATTTTAAATTGTAATAATATTTCACAATATTACAGTATACTGTATTTTTGATCAAACAAATGCAGCCTTGGTGAGCATAAAGAGACAACCCCAAACCTTTGACCAGTAATGTAGACTGTGTCAAAAAATCCCTCTATATCATCATTTCTATACTCTTTTGCAAAATATTGAAGAACAAAATAAGTATGCGACACACAGCTATAATAAAATAACACTGGTAATAATGATGCAAACAGCTAAATGTGTACTTCCTTCCTCTCAAAGCTGCTGCCATTTTATTATTCCCCCCCCCCCCTAAAATTCCACATTTCTAACAATTATGCATACAAAAAACATGAACAGTAGCTGGAACCTTACAATTATAGTAATTCAACTATGTAAACAAACTTTTGTGTCTTCAGAATCTGACGAATGTGAACAAGAGCAGGAGCAGTTATGTTTTCAATAAGCATAATACCTTTGTTAGGTTTGGATGTTGCAAAGTTGAACCACCATCCACATTTCTACATCATACACCTTTTAATATTTATCAGCTCTCGATGTTTTGAAGATCATATCAGATTTATCAGATCTTCATTAATGTGATTTTCTGATAACATGAAACTTTCTAACCAACAGCTTCCTGTTGCACACGACGAAATCTCAGCTATGCCCGATTCCATCCAGCATGAAGTTTAAGATCAAGTTAAATCAGATATTCCTCCCCCATTCTGAAAACTCTGACAGATTCTGGAGTTTTGTAAGGTGTCAGTACACCTCCCTGTGTCTAAGCTGAGATAATGAGGATGTGGACAGAAACTTTCCCTGCTGCAGTGACACCCAATGAGCCATCGAATCTCACCGGGGCAGAGTCCTCTGGGATGGCTGTTACATTTCAGTACAATCTGAAATCTGTGGTCCACTTCCTGTGCTGATGGCTGCATACAGTACATCCTGAGAGGAAACAGTCCAACGATTATCTGGTGGCATTAAAAGCTTTGTTAATCACGCTGCTCTAGTTTTGAAATAAACATGAACGTCTGGCCCAGATGTAAATAAATGCGGTGTTTTTCCTCATCACTTATCTTCTGCTGTGACAACTGTCACAAACTGTAGCAGTGCAGCACGTGGATGTGACAGCTGTGTCATGAGATCCTGATTGATAAAGTCAGATGTACAGTCTTTAAGCAGCAGCTCTGTTGGGAGGGCATGAATATTGATTGTATTGATTAATCTGTCCTCTATGTGTGGTTTGAATAGCTACATTACTACAAAGTCTTTAAGTGAAGTTTAACTTGATTATTGTGTTTTTTATGTTTGAGGGGAGGGGGATTATGTAAAATAAACACGTAAAAACACTGAGCCATCTTCACTAATTAATGGTGTACAGTAATGTGGTATTTGTCTCACAAAGTCAGCCTTTTAAAGAATAATGCATCTAAAAGGTAAGCACTGCTATATTAACACTTTTCAATTATATTTTGGAAGGTAGAGATCATTTATATTGGGGTAAATTGCCATGTGTAATTTCTGTTAACCAACATTTTTGCATTTTCATAAATATATATTAATTGTTTTACTGTTTCAATTTAATACTGTTCAAATATATTTACTTATTAATGAACAACAAATATGTTTACTGTATATTGAAAATATGCCGAATAATATATTGTGTTAATATATTACAATATATTAAATAAGGAATTGCTGCTTTTCATACACTGAACAAGAAAAACAAAAGTGTTGTTTATAATTTTGTTCAGTGTATATTGAAAAATATGTGACAATATATTTACTTGTATATACTCGTAATGTATGTGATTTTATATTGAATCATATTGAATATATATTGTACTATATACATATCAAATATTGTGGTATGTATGTATTAACATTGAAAATGAGTAAACTGAGAAGACCATACGCTTTAAAGCAGCACTATGTAACTTTTGGCGCTCTATCGGTTAATAAACAGAACTGCACACATCCCGCGGAAGAACATTCCAACCGGAGCTACTTCTCTAAGTTTACGTCTCTGGCGATTCACGCAGGTATGTGTTACTCCGCAGCGGTGACGACCCGACAAGGCTACAATAGTCCAAATATAAGCACTTATTATAAGTGTACCGTAGTGATTCGGAATAAGACAAAAACGCGGTTTGGAAGATGAATTCATGATGTACTCGCTCATTATATACATTTTGCAAATTTTGAACACGGAAAAAGTGACATAGTGCTGCGTTAAACATGCTTTATATATATCAAATAATATCTAATACTAATAAAGTAATCTTCCACAACGTATCTGTAATTAAAATGTATTATATGCTTACATTTTATAGCTTATATAATGGCTTTTAGCAATATTTAATTACATAAAATCATATAGCAGCATATAGTATATATTTATGAAAAATAGAAGTGCCCGAAATTAGCTTTTTAGTAAGCAGTGATATATGGATTTGATTGTATTTTAATATAATAATCATAATTTTCGATTACAATTTTATAATTGCAAAACAAAACTTAATTACAATGAATGTAGGCTATTATTATTAATTATAATTAATTATAAAGTAATAATTATAAAATAACGATTATTGTTGTTGTTTTTGTTATTACGTTAATTATAATAGTAATATATATATATTTAAAAAATCTTCGAATAATATTGCTTGTTCTTGTTAAAAGGAGAGCCTCAATACGATACAATGTCTGCTGTTTCCACATTTAAAAGTCAGTACGCATTTATGCAGGTTTCATTAGCTTCGCTCCAACCCTATAGTTTACTGTCTGTCTGAGTTACCCACATGTTTACACAGAAGCAGCGTTCTTGTCAAGTTGCACGGGCTTCTTTTTGTCTGACTGGTCTCGCTGACAGTGCCATCACCGTGATTGGTCAACTGCCACGTCAATCAAAATGTACGCGATTGGTATAAATTAGTCTCTCCGCTCCGCCTTCACTCCGCGTTCGGAACACTTCCGCTAAGCCACCATGCCCTGCGGAAGTTGAATTGTTACAGTCGGACACTGTGGAAACAGTGGAGTGGTCGCGCAAAGGTGGCGATTTAAGAGTCGTAAACACACTGTAGGCGCCTAGGACTGGGCGGAGAGAGGGTTTAAATAGTTCATAATCACCACAGACCCACGGAAACAGTGAGGGAAGGGTTTCAAACAGCGCCTTAAACCCCCGTCAGGTCCCGTGTGTGTGGGCGCAGCGAGGCGGGAGGAGATGGAGCCCTCGCCGGCTAAGGGTAAAGCGCAGGGTCGCCTTCTGTTGTCCACCAGCCTGGACGCCAAAGATGAGCTGGAGGAGGTAGGGATCGACGCATTCCCATCGGCCGTCAACATACGTGTCAGCGCGTTCTTCACAGCACACATTTGCGAAGAAAACATGGGGGAAACTAAGTACAATAACAAAAGGACGAGCAGAATGGAGAAGCTGACACTATCAGACTTGTAGAACAGGGCTGGTAGTTGCAGGGATGGCTTTTGTAGTCTTTTATTATCTTCTTTGTTGATTCAAATATAAATGAAGGAGTTGAGGCAGCGGTGTAAACATGATGTGTGCTGAACATACAATGATGTTATCATGTCATACATGTACTAATGACAGCTGATGGTGTCAGTGACTCTCCATCTGCTGGGGAAGGTATTACAAATTGATGCAGTCATGCCTTTAATTGAGATTAGACTATGCATGAACTATTGTTGGGATCTGTAGAGTTATTTTGTTGTTTGGTGTTTTTGGCATGGCATTCATGCATGCATTCATATTGCTCTGTACTCACCGGTTAGTGTGTGTGTGTGTGTGTGTGTGTGTGTGTGTGTGTGTGTGTGTGTGTGTGTGTGTGTGTGTTTCAGCGCCTGGAGAGGTGTGTGAGCATCACCACATCTATAACCAATGTACTGTCGGAGCGGGAAGCCAATGATGCTCTCACTGCTCATGTGAGTGTTTATCAGTTACACTTACTTATGATAACACATCAGAATTCACAAATCATGAAAACCTGGGCATAGAACGGAACTTTAAAACATAGAATGGAATTTTAAAGTTGTGATTTTTCAGGCCTGGAAAAGTAGTGTAAATTAGTTAAATGCTAAAAAGACTTTAATGTAGAATTAACTTTTTTCTAGATTAGCTCTGTTTGAAAATGTTTAATCACCTATATTGTTATTTTTGAGTGCTTGTGTAGACAACACCATGTCCACAAAACTTTAAGATATCTGTTGACTCTTATTGTGGAAGTTTGTATGCTAAATATGATAATTTAAATCTATTACTTGGCATAGACATTGCTGTGATTTTTAAATGTATTTTAAAATCAGATTTTTTTTCTGCCAGTTATCAATCAGCTGTAAATGAATAAAAATTCACTGGTCGAAAAGTGCGGGAACCCTGTTATCCTACACATGTAATTCATGTGAAACAGAAATTGGGCACTTCTTTGCTATTCATAATGTGGAGGTCCATCCTTTTATACTTTAGGAAATGTAAGCAGTAATACTGTATGCTTCGCTGTATTGGGAATATAGTTGTGGCAGAAAGGTTTTGTTTTGGCACATACTGGAAATTCTCTTCAACTACTTTAGCTGTGACAGTCAAAATTATTTTATAAAACAGATACTAGAG